TTTTATCAATAAACGTATTATTATACCTCTGAATCAATCGAGTCGCTTTACTTTTAGTCTTATCGTGAATACACTACTGTGTAAGCTATAAATCTTAAGATAAACTGAATTGAGCCACTACGTAAACTTAAAAGAATCACCACTCGAACATCCCGTCTAACTGTCGCAATTCGCAAGGATTGCACGTTAACAGTATAATTAAATTATAATTCAATTGAAATTTAAAAATAATTATAAAAACTATCTTTAATCATATTAATTTATAATTTTAACTTAATATAATATAGTAAGTTTAAAAAGTTAAATAATATGTAATATAAAATAATTTATTATATTGAAAGAAAATAAAATATCACACATTCAAGATAGATATCATAATGAGTTTTATATAAGATAAAAGTATTATAATATAATTTTTAAATAAAAATTAAATAATACTAAATTAACTTATCAGTTTAAACTGATTTTTGAATAATACTAAGTAATTAAAATCTGATCAATATTTGACATTGATTACAAAAAAAAGAAATACTAATGTTTTCTAAAGTTCTTATCACCTGATAATAATAAAATGAATTCTTTAATAATACCAAAAAGAAAAAATATAACCTTAATCCTTATTTTTGAAAAAATGAATCATATAAATATAATAATTATTTAATATATGATAAGATAAGGTTAATTAAAAAGAAGAACTCTTGATATAATAAATTTATTTTCTTTAAGTAAAAATAAGATATTGGCTATTTAATAGTTAGATTAAACTTTAACATATTTAATGTAGTCAAATTATTTGACCTACTTTTCTTTTGATATAAATGTTATTTGAATAAATTATTTCTAAAAATAAAAATATAATATATTCTAATGATAAATATATTATAAATAAAATAAAAATTCTTCAAAGTATTATCTTATACCTTAAATTGAAATAGTTTAAGTTTAATAAATTTATAAAAGAAAATAGAATATGATGAGATTTGTAATGAAGTTAATTTAATGATCATAATTTCAAAAGGAATTACTAAAATAAATCAGTAGTTATATACTTGTAAAAAATTTTACAGCTGTAATTTTATAATTAATAATATAAGTTAATGAGCTTTAGGATCCTGCTTTTAAATCAAAAAAAAAATGTATTTAAAATTAAAATTATAAATAAAAAGATCAATTCATAACAAATTAAATTTGATAAAATTCTATATAGAGATTCAAAAAAGTTTAGAATCACAACATCACTTAGAAAACATTAAGAAAATTTTTAAAAAAAAACTTGAAATCACTAAGAGCATTTGTAACTTACTATCAAAGTAATGTTAACATCCTATTCATTAACTCAAATTTCTTCTAAATAAATAGAATAACTAAAAGTAATGAATGACATAATTATTTCTTAAAGGTTAGATAAATATGTATTAGATATTATAATTGGCAAATTAATTAAAAATTAATTTAACATTTCTGATTTAGTTTACAAAATATCATTTAGCAAATTCTTACCTTATATAAATAAAATATATTCTATTTTTTCAAAAAGGAGTGAATGTGATGATTAGAGTTATCATGTATTATGAGAATTATAAAACAATATCACTCACATAATATTTTAGATAATAAAATGATTAAATATTATGTATTTTAAATGGCAATTAGTAATAAATTAATTTTTGATCAATGATAATGTAAGTCACATATTTATTACAATTTAATTGATCATTGATTTGGTTGGTTAATTATGTCTATAATTTAATAAAATATTAAATATAATATTACAATTTTCCTTCTTTTTATATTTCATTGATCAACTTTAATATTTCAGACTGAAATAAATCTAAATTCAGTAGAACAGAATGTTAATTTTCTGAATAACTAGTAAAAAAAGATATATATATTAAGTAATATTTACTTATAACTTAGTCATTATCGTATATTAATTAATTAAACCATAATAAAGTAGTCAACTTACTGAAAGATTTTATTCAAAATTAATTAATCATTTTCTTAAATAGGCAATTATTTTATGGAATTATCCATGGATGTCAAAGAATTTGAAATTTTTGATAAGGAAAATTTATACAATGTTAAGTAAAATTGCTAATTTTAAAATTTTATATTAATTAATTGTTGGATTGTATTTAATTATCCTATTATCTTAGTCTTTATCCTATTATTTCTCAATATTAAAATATAAGTTCTGATCATAAATGAAGATACAATTATTTATTTTTCATTTATTAGAACTTTTATTTTTCATTTGTCTTAAAAATTTATTAAGAGTTTAATTTTAATTAATAAAGATTATATCAATTATTTATTAATGTTAGCATATACTTCTGATATTTAAATAAGCGTGATTAGGATGTTATAGTTGCTAAAAAAATGATAATTATTCATTATCAACAGGGCAAAGATTCTTTATATGATAATAGTATAGTTATAATTAGTGTGCTTAAGTTATAAAGAAAAGACTATAAGAAAAGTCAGAAAAATTAGCATATTTGAATAAATATTATAAAAAAGAATTTGTTTTAATAATAATATTCATTATACAGATGGCAAAGGTATAATACTGATGGTAATTTAAGTTAGACAGAAATGGTATAATAATATTTTTTAATAATTATGATCATAATATTTCACATGGTTTATAAATTTTCAAATTTTAATTCATCTTTATTTTTTTTATAAAAAACAAAAATTTAGTTAGTAAAGATTAATTTGGGAAATAAACCCTTGCAGGTTATTTTGTGTTTATGGAAATACTTAATGAGGATGATTAATTAGAAATTATAGTTGATAAGTATAATTCATTAATTTATTAAATAAAGAAATGAGTTTCTAAGTTATAGTGTTACTGAATAAATGGTAAATTAAACTTAATTTATTAGTTTTAATTCTTTTATTATTATATAAATCACTAATAAATTTTGTTTCAATTAGTAAAATGCTTTTGAAAATATATTACAGTCTTCTACTTGAACTAATAAAAATAAATTTGAACAGAAAATTCACAATATTTGAGATTATTTAAGTGAATAAAGATGTGAGTTAATTAAATATTATGTATATAACCAATATCTTTATAAGATGTTTATATTATTAAAATCTAGATTTTCAAAGAAATTATTATCACATTATGAGAAAAATTAAAGTCAGAGAAAAAGTATCTTTACGTAAGCATCTTTACGTTTTAAAAGTATTATGGGCCTGTTTATGACCATCATTAGAACACAAAGGCATTACCATGTCTAGTAGCGAAATTTGATCTTTTCTTAAAGAAAGCCTTTTAAGGATATAAATAAGAGAATGGTGAGTGTAAAATTTATAATAAGGCTCGGATTGATGTTTTAAATTGCTTATGGTTTCTATATCAACTTTAGTATTGAATATATAGCATGCAAATCATAGGTTAACCTTTTTTAATTAATATAATAGAGCAAATAGAAAAAATATTGGATTGCATGGTTTGGTAGGAAAATTTGGAGGTGTCAGCAAGTTGAATACATTGTAAACAATGATTTAGCATATCGACCAAGTGTTTGAGGAATCAAAGCATTAAACAATGTATTGTTTGCTTAGGATTCCGATATAACACTATCATTTAAATATTCCATTCCTGACATTAATGTCGAAATTCTGTTTGATAAGAAATCGTATGCTATAACAATATTTTCTTTATTATACACTTTATATGATTCGGTAATACTAATTTTTTATAACGCATATAGTAGAACTTGCGGAGTCTGTAGGATAAGGATCTTCTTTTGTGAAATTATATTTATGATGATCGGAAAAGGTACCTTTATTTCAGTGGGACCACGGCAGGTACATTAGAAGAGCAATTATCATTATTAATATTATTACTAATATTTTCCAGAGTCCATTCATCACACATATTATCACATGTTTTGCTCTTTAATGACCGATTCCGTTCCACAAATGGTCTTCCGTCGACTTTTTGCTCAATTAGTTCATTAGGTATCACCCTTGTTGTTCTTTGGGTTCTTGGGTTCTTTGGGGTTCTTGTGGTTCTTGGGGTTCTTGACTCCGTTTTTATTTTATTTTTTCGGGTTTTCTGATCATTACCGAAAGAACAATGCATCGTAAGACAAAATTATTTACAGATTAGGAAAAAAATCACTTTATTTCGATTATATTATGCACGTGACTGAAATAGATGTTCTGTTACGTCATAAAAAAATAGAATATATTCTTTTCGTTTCACCCCCCTTTCAAATTAAAAAAAAAATTTTTTATTCAAAAAAAAAAAAAAAACGTATAAATCTACAAAAAATTATTTTTTACTTTATTTATTTTATATGAAAAAACAATGACAATTACTACATTTGTGAATTTTACAATTCAGAGTTTAACGACGACAACGTGTTTTAAATACACAATCCTCAACATCAAATCCACTATGAAGAGACAACAAAATACGATGGAGCAATTCGACTTCGCGACTGCTTCACCACAAGAAAGCGAATTAAAGCAATTGAAGGTGGTAACTTATTCTGCTGTCGAATCAAGCGATTCGGTGGCTTTTAAAGAATAAAAGCGTCGACATGGATCAAAGTGTCGACATATTCTGCAATCGAATCAAGCGATTCGGTTGCTTTTAAACGTCGACATGGATTTTAACGACTTATTCTGCAATCGAATCAAGCGATTCGGTTGCCTTTAAGCGATTCGGTGGCTTTTTAAAGAATCAAAGTTTAATCTAAATCTACTTTTACATATTTCAATTTGTTTTTAACCATTTTTTTAACAAAAAAACTTGCGTTAGTACTATTATGAAAAATTAGAATATTTACTCAATCTTAATAGTAGTTAATATGTATAGAGAATTTTATATCTAGACCAAGTGTTTATTATCAAAATAAAAAAAAATCTAAACTTTTATTTTCTAATTATATTATTCTACCATCTTAAATCGTTCATTTTATTTCGGTATAATGTTCATTTAAAAGTTGAACAAACAAAATCAAAAGGTTTATTTGGTGAATGCGCTGAAGCGAATCTGAACGCACCTAGGGTTTAAAAAGATGAACCTATAATAGAACAATTTAAAATTTGTCAAATCCGAAAAATTATATAATGAAAATGCATATATAACAATGCACAATAATGAACCACATCGCAAAGACAATTCCAAGAGAAATATGTTAACTCACAAGTCATCCTTAGTTTAAAAATTAATCTTCTTGTTTTTTAAAAAAAAAAAAAATTAAAAATAAAAAAGGAGAATTAAAATTTTTTTATAAACCACGTGAATTATTATGTATTATTAATATTATATCATTTCCGTCCAAATTCCGTCCAAATGCGCTAATATTTCTGGTTGATCTATACCTATAGTTGTTCCTCATGAAATTTTACCTTCATAACATCATCTAATCTTAAGTTTCGGCAATTCACCAGCTATAACTAAATTTACCAATACTACATTAAAGAATATTTTCCCTTTTGACAACGAGCAATTACTCGTTCTGCATCTTTTCAACAACTATAACATCTTCCCGAGATGATAAGAATTAGGGCAGACAAGAACAGATCTCTGTTTCTGTTGTTCCATACAAAATTTTGGTATTTGGTTCAAACGGTTACATATCAGAAAGTGTTTCAAAATGAAGATATCGGAATGCTAGCATTAATATATGAATAGCATTGACACATAATCATTATTATTTAAATTAAACTCTCAATAATTTCAAGACATGAAAAATAAAGTTCTACCAGATGATAAATGGATTATTGTATCTTCATCTTTAGCCATCCAGGTAGACAATCTCCGGAAATGCCTATACCTTCATGATCAGAACATGTAATTCAGCACCGAGAAATAATGGGGTAAAGACTAAGACGATCAGATAACTAAATACCACAAATAATTAATAAATAAATCAGATAGATTTCAAAATTACTATCACGATAACTTGAATCATAAGCGATTCAAATATCATAGTAAATTTTTCTTACCAGAAAGTCCAAATTCTTTGACATCCATAGATAATAATGTTTTAGATAACCCTATTATAAAAGAACAACATTATACATTATACTGAATACAAAGGAAATATAAATTTATATTTTTTTTTATTTACCACTCAGAGTTCACTTGTAAAAGTTAACCGATGCTATCTGGTCCAAGCATCTAATTTAACACATCACTACCTTAAAAATCCATCGTCTAAAATTTCTAATGCAGGAATTTTCACATTTCAGACCGTCTCATCTGAATATAACTTGATAGATTTTCTTGGATATCTGTCCAATTCCTGTGTATAATGTTTTGACGATCCGGTGGATAAGCGGGATTTAAATAAAAATGATTGAAATATTATATCGTCTTCAGGATAGTTTAATAATTCAATGAATAAATTTTCAAATCTTTAATGATTAATACCTTTCACTATAACTTCGCTTGTCTAGTTGAATAATTTCATTATCTGATTGCTAAGCATCGAAGAGTTGTAAAACTCCTTAAAACTCATAATTGGAAAATCTTTTCCGAATCGAGAGCTTTTCTCTCAAATCACGATCATCTTTGTAAATAAATTCTGTGAAATTTTGTTAATTTAACATCTAGTTCCGATAATGCAATTATTGAAGTATTTCTAAACCTTCTACAATTGATCCTCAAAAATATTATAAAATATGATTCTGTTTTCATATATAATCATCAGTCTCAGGTACTTCAAGTAATTCAACTCCATGAGCTTTTCAAAGTTCAAGTTCCTGCTTGCTATGCTGTTCATATGCGTCTTGATTAGCAAATACAATTTTGAATTTTTCCGTTTCTATATATAATTCTTAAGTGTTGAATCAGGTAAGAATTAATAGTTCACATATTGATATCTTTCCAGAAATAATTACATAATCATAAGCTTATACATCTGAATAATTATCCATTGAGCTGGTTTAACAAATATTTATCAGAGTCGAAATAGAAAAAATTGATTTGGGTTTCTAACATAAAAATTTCTACAACTTTGATCTTGAAAGTTCAGCATCACCCTTTTGCAAAGGCCATCTTGAAAATGATTCGTGAAGATATGCAACATTAGATCCACTAGCTGCCTTTGACTTGGCCACTTGAGACTTGATAATTCGCTCATAGTTGATCTTTAATATGATTGTATTCGAAGTTGTCCCATACGCCTATCTATACTTGGATTATTTTTTTGCCTTATAGAAAACAGTAAAAAAATGATTACTATTAACCCTTAACAAGAATTTATTAGTAAAATACAGTTATTTGCATACCGTAACTCGACAACTCATTTTCATATAGATAATACGTTTTGCGCAAGCATACGCATCCATCTCTAACTCGATAGCTCAAACTAGAATTAAGAAATAGTTGAGGTTCTAAAGATCTAAAGTTTTCATTTTAATTCTTTCCATTGCATTTCAAAGTGGCTACGGCTTTTCCAATTTCGCTATGTTATTTTAGAAGAAAATTTTGAAATCCTGCTTCTTTAAACACTTTATTACCTCCGCCGCTTATAGTGCCGAATTTGTCAATCAATTGACCACTTAACGTACGCGCGCCATCGAGTATTAGTAAATGCGATCCTATTCGCTTGTTGCAGATTTTGGGCAACCAAAGTGGTTTGTAACACACTATAAAATGCTCGGATAGACCTATCATCTTTCGGCTTAATAAGATCAAAAAGATGGAAACATTTTCAGGTGTTGTATCGGGCTCATTTACATTGTAGGCAGTTCATTCAAA